CCCCTATAAAAGAAGGCTTAATGTTTAGGATTTAAACACACCTCTCATTTGCCTTCTCATCTGTTTAAGGCATTTGTATCTTCTCTCTTTAGTATTATTTCACTTGTATTTTTGGAGTGGAATAAAATATTGGCTGTGTCCGAGGAGTAGGCAAAATTAGCCGAACCTCGTAAATTCTGGTGTTCCTTTTATTATTGCTTTATTGTCTTATTTATTATTTGGTGGCTGTAATAATTTTTGGTATAGTAGTTGTGACTTATTCACACTATATACATTTGGCTTCCGCAACAGATATATTGAGGGTAGTATCAAGATCTCTGGCTATCCTAAGAAGCAAGAAACATTTGCACGTATATCAGGATACTGTGAGCAGAATGATATCCATTCACCTCATGTTACAGTTTATGAGTCATTAGTATACTCAGCTTGGCTGCGTTTACCTCATGATGTTGATGAAAATACCAGAAAGGTTCGCAACTTTTGACAATTTCCTTCCTTAACATGAATCTCGCCCAAAAATTAGTTAAAACATAATAAAGAAGGTTGAAGTCATATTACATTTCCTATCTATTATCCTTGTGCAGATGTTTTTGAGGAAGTTATGGAACTTGTGGAGCTTGCACCATTAAGATCAGCGTTAGTTGGTTTGCCAGGAGTCAACGGTCTCTCAACTGAGCGACGCAAAAGGTTGACCATTGCAGTGGAATTAGTAGCCAACCCCTCTATCATTTTCATGGATGAACCAACTTCAGGGCTGGATGCAAGGGCTGCTGCAATTGTGATGAGAACTGTTAGGAACACTGTTGACACAGGGAGAACCGTTGTTTGTACATTCCATCAGCCTAGTATCGACATTTTTGAAGCCTTTGATGAGGTGAATTTGATACCTTTTTGAACCCGATCAAGCTAATAAATGTTTTTTTTTCTCTCTTTTGACGTTGCGTACTAATATAAGCACCACTCTTTGCAGCTATTTCTAATGAAACGAGGAGGACAAGAGATATATGTTGGTCCTTTGGATCAACATTCTTGCCATTTGATCAAATACTTTGAGGTAAGTTGTCCTGGTGAAAAGGAGCTTTTCTTTTTTCCATAAAATACTAACTAATTTTTCCTGTATTCAGTCAATGCTCGGGGTAAGTAAAATACAAGATGGTTACAATCCAGCAACTTGGATGTTAGAAGTCACAATCTCGGCTCAGGAAATGATGTTGGGGGTTGATTTTGCTGATTTATACAAGAAATCAGACCTTTACAGGAGGACAAAAGCAGTGATAAGTGAACTGGGGGTGCCTTGCCCTGGTACAAAAGACCTGTATTTCGATAGTCAATATTCACAGCCATTTTGGACCCAATGTATGGCTTGCCTTTGGAAGAAACACTGGTCATACTGGCGTAATCCTGCTTATACTGCAGTCAGATTTCTCTTTACAATTTGCATCGCCTTGGCCTTTGGGACAATTTTCTGGGATCTTGGTAGTAAAGTGCAAGTCCAAATATACGAGACAAAGCACGTACTCATATCATCTTGAAATTACTTTAGTTCTTAATGCGAAAAGCCTATATTTTTTTTGTTATAGTGGTAACAAGCAAGACCTATTTAATGCTATGGGATCAATGTATGCTGCTGTTTTCTTCCTTGGTTTACAAAATACATCATCTGTGCTGCCTGTAGTAGCCGTTGAGCCATTTTGGACCCAATGAATGGCTTGCCTTTGGAAGTAACACTGGTCATACTGGCGTAATCCCGCTTATACTGTAGTCAGATTTCTCTTTACAGTCTTCGTCGCCTTGGCCATAGGGATGTTCTGGGATCTTGGTACTAAAGTGTAAGTTCAAACATATGAGATGAAATAAGTACTCATATAATCTGGAAAATACTTTTAGTTCTTAATGCTAAAAGCTTAATTTTTTTTCACAGGTTAAAAAGGTCTAAATTACTTATAATGCTTTTCGATCCTACAGGTTGTCATTGAAATGCCATATGTTTTTGTGCAAGCTATTTTCTATGGCGTCATTGTCTATGCTATGATTGGATTTGAATGGACAGTAACCAAGTTCTTTTGGTACTTGTTCATCATGTATTTCACTCTCTTGTACTTCACCTTCTATGGTATGATGGGCGTTGTTGTTACCCCAAATCTAAATGTTGCGCAAATTGTTGCTATCTTCTTCTTGGCCATGTGGAATCTTTTTTCAGGATTCATTATCCCGCGGCCTGTAAGTTCTTGAAACACTTCCATTTTCATTACATGAAAGTTAAATCAATGTAGAGCACGAAAATTACATGTTTTCATTAAAAAACAGTGTATGGCCATATGGTGGAGATGGTACTATTGGGCTTGTCCTGTTGCCTGGACCTTGTATGGTCTGGTTGTGTCACAATTTGGTGACATCCAAAACAAAATTAATGATGATGAAACTGTGGAACAATTCTTGAGACGTTACTTCGGGTTCAAGCATGATTTTCTTGGAGTAGTTGCAGTTGTGACTGTTGCATATGCTGTTGTTTTTTGCCTTCATATTTGCTTTGGCTATTAAGGTATTCAACTTCCAGAGAAGATAGAAGATATTATACCTGCTGAAGATCAATATGAGAAATGTTGAAGAAAAGATTGATTATAAAACCTTATACAGTAGAGATTGAAAAAGTTTGAGGATCCACCATCCCCCCAACCCCCCACCCCAAGAATATTGATTTTTTCTTCAGTACCTTGTATAATTGTATTAGAGAATTAAATAAAACCTTCAAAATTGTAATTTGTCCCATTCTAGAGCTTTTTCTCCAACTACTTGAATTCTATTTGAAATTTAAGAGTCTGCAAAAGAAACAGAGAGCAACAACAACAATCCAGTAAAATTGCATCAATAGGGTCGGGGGAGAGTAGAGTGTACGTAGACCTTACCCCTATTCCGAAGGGGTAGAGAGGTGTTTTCGGGAGACCCTCGGCTCAGAGACAATAGATTCAGGACAACAACATAAACCAGAAAAATAATGTCAGCAACAAACGGAGAACTTACAATAAATATATACTCTCTATATAACATTCTCATCGTCATCTTGATGCATAGCTTCTCTTGAACATGAAATAAATAAAAAAAAACTCATGGCTATTAGTGGTGCAATGACGACGCCGGGCTACCTAGATGGTGTAAATATTTCTTACACCATTCGTGCGTACAACTTAAACTCTTACACACACATTAAAAAAACATGAGATAAAGATGAAAACAAAAAGCCTGCTCGGTGTTATCAAAGGCGCGCTTAAAGCATGCTTAAGCCCCGAAGAGGGGCTTAAAATATGTTGAGCGCTTCGCCTCGCTTAGCGGGTGCTTTAGTGTTATTATCAAGGCTTTAAGACATAATTTTCCTTGCCAATGAGCATAATCTTGAAGATGCGACGCTAAACAATTGATATTTTACTTTATTGTAAATTTTCTTCAATTGCTTTGTCTATATATTTGGTATTCATGCTTATAGATACTAGTCTTGGACTATACATGCATATTTGTAGTTTTTCCCCATTTGCGCCTTTTTTCATTAAAGCCAACGCTCTATTTATGCTTTGCGCTTAAAGTCCTGACAAACCTTAGAGCTTTTTTGCGCTTTTCGCCTTTGATAACACTGTTGTCTCTCATTGCACCACCAACAACCATGTTGCAAATTGAATTGTTATAAGATAATAAATGAAGAAAATACTGATCGAAGGAGCTGATGGTTAGATTTCAAGAAATATTTGCACTTTATATAAGGCTGTTTTGCTTCCTTTTATTCTGATTTTTTTTTAATTAGACAAGATTCTTTTAATTAGTGGGATTTTCGATAACTAAGAGTAGAATTTCACTTTCTAGCTTATTAGAATATCTTTTCATCAGCTCATAAATGCTGCTAAGTGAGTGAGTTCTTGTTTTATTGAGTAGAATTTCACTTATTTTACCAAAAATATGTCTTTTAAATTCTCTGTCTGCAACTTCAAGAATATTTTTGTGTGGTGGTGGTGCTTCACTTTCTAGGGGCAAAATCTTAAAATACTCACTTTTGTTTCTTTAATTTTTCTAGGACAAACATGAGAATATGATTTTACTTTGCATAATAGTGGGAAAAAGGTTGTATTGTATTCCTTTTCTTTATCGTGTGAGAAAGAATTCTCTTTACTCAAATGTGCTTCACAACTGATACTACACTTGATGTCTTGAAATAGATACAAAGTGAATCAATCAGTTTTGTGCCTGAACCCCAATATATGGCTAAACAAATATATTGGCCAAGTATCTGAAAGATCGTTGTATACGGTCAAAATAGGGCTTGCCTAATTGTGTTGATTAACCGGAACTAGGGGGATGGGTCGAAGATCGGCCCCATAGCATGTCAGATCGAGATACGACGATAAGGTACCAAGTTCGGGATTTGAGGTTCCTGTGGAGATCGAGATCGAAATCGAGCAAGACCGAAGATAGCATAATAACGGAAATGTAACACTTCTCAAATTTATAAAAAAAATAAAAAAATTCGAAACACGCTATTTATAGAATTAAATTATTATTATTATGCCTATAGTGAAAACATATAGATATATACACTTAAGTAGTTGGATGTACAATTAGGAGAATATTAATAATTTTGTTATTATTAAATATTAAAAGTATATATAAGTTAATACTAGTTAAGTTAAAACCAAAAGAAAAAAAAAAGAAAAGAAAAGAAAAGAAATGAGAAAACAAATAAAGAAAAGGAAAATGTGAAAACAAGTCCTAACCCATAAAGGGTTATGGACTGCAAAAGAAGTAAAAAGGTTTTAGGACTAAGAAACAGAATACGCTGAAACGCTGAGTTAAAAAAAAGGGCCCTCGTTCACGCACAAACACAGAATCGTAAGACAGAGTCTTGCTGCTCAATACTCCCGTAGGCAACGCAAAGTTTAGGTTTCTTTACAAGTCGCTAATTCTTGAACTCAGGTATGTAAAATCACCTATTATCAATTACCCTACAGTAGTAATAGGTAAGATTGAATAGCTAATTCCCTTCTTCCTCTATATCAACAATAAATTTCATAATTAGGTGTAGTACTTGAAAATTAATTAAAATACACTGGTTGTTGTAGAATCAATTGTTTGACGGATATAAATTGGATTGGAGTCTACGTATTGGTTCGAGAAGTTTTGAGGTGAGTTGACATAACCTTTTACTAAAGTGGTTTAACTCACAAAAGCACACATACAAGGTGTTTGATGAATTGCTTAAAAGAGTTTATCTTTATTTAATTAGAGCGAGTGAGTACCCATTAATTTAGAATTGTTCTAGCAAAAGTTTAGATGATCTATTATGCTATATGTGCTTAAATTTTCAGATTTTTGTGTTGTTCTTATATGCTATTTTCATGTTGAAAATTATGAAGAAGAAAGAATCTTTGGAAATATTTTTATATGTTTATTTCATTCTTATGCCATGCTTTACATTTAAGGACACCAATATGAGCATGTACATAATGTTCTATAAAGAAAACATTTAGACTTGAAAAGTCACAAGAAGAAGTTTTAGAAAGAAAAGATTTTTGGGGAGTATCCTTTATTCTGAGAAGGGGTCATCGTCCAGGCCGAGGGTCCTGACCAAGGCGTTGACTTCCTGAAACTACTTGTGCCAAAGTAGGGAGCATACGAGCCGAGGGTCTCGTTGCTGAGAATTTACTTAGCCATGCTAAGGTATGATACATGAGCGGTGAGAACCATGAAGCGAGTGACACCACGTAAATTGGGCCTATTCGATCAGGTTGGGATCGAACCCGTGCCGATCACACGGTGACTGAGACAGAATTAAGTCAGGATAGTTGGAACTCCCAAAAGTATAAAGTGAAGTATTTTTTTTAAAGAAAGAAAAAAAAAGAATTTCTTTTAGAATATTCATAAATTGCTATTATGCAATTATTTTAGAATTATTCTTATAAGCTTTATGTTTTACATGCATTTAGAACCTTTGCTCGTAATGTATATGTTATTAAAGTTTCTCCCCCTGCTGTTGAGACTCACTGAGTACAGTGGAAGGTACTGACGTTCTCTTTTGGGAACCTACATTGGTCTGCGGTACAACATAGGAACCGGATTTGCAGGCGAGCAGGCTACGAGTTAGGACCCCCATCCCTTCCAGTGATATTGGTGAGATCCGGTTTTGTTCGTGGAGTATTCTTAGAGTCATTTTTATTTAGCTATTTCTTTGTTTATTTAGAGAACTGGCCACAAAATCTCATGTCCTGAGCAGTGCATCAGTTTATCAGTAGAGGCTTCATAGACATAGTCATTGAGTTGAGATTCAGATGTTATTTTATAATAACTTAGCAGTAATTCAGTAGTTACTACGAATAAAGCTTTGGAGTTGATTTATTTAAATATTTGAATTAATCAAAAGTATTTGGTTATAGTATTGCTTTGTTGCATATAAAGTTTGGAGTTATAATAGGTATGATAAGCAGAGATGGTTCGCTCGGTCATGTTTAGTGATCGAGTGCCGGTCTCGGCTTGTTCAGAAAATGGGTCGTGATAGGAAAGGCGTGATTGGTCAAGAATCACGGCGGAAATCTTGGAACAGATTAAGTCAAGGACGGTTATTTAGCTAATCGTGGGATCTCATTCTGTAATTAGAATTATACCATAAATAGGATTCCTCTACAATATAAAGAGGGTCTTAACCATTTGTAATCGCCTTACATTCCCGCATATCAAAGCAATATATTACATTTTTTTATCTCTTGCAAGCTTTGTTGTTCAGTTCATACTTTTAATAGTTCGTTCGGTTTGTTCGAGGGCAATTAGTTCAAGGGCCATAATTATTCATCACACTGGTTTGCTTTATTTCACTGTAATTTCTATCATTAGTTCTTACATTTATCAGTTTGTGCCAAATAAAATCACATATCCTTAAAATCACTTATAAGTTTAATTGTTATATGATTTTAAGGGTAAACAGTTTGGCGCCCACCGTAGGGATAAGGATAACAGTGATTGCCTGGTATTAATTCTCATAACACACACTGCTTTACGCTTATTCTCATAAGTGTCTTTTGATTTCAGGACCAACGTGTCAAACTCTCAAGTAGCACCCACACATACAGACAACGGCCTTGGTCTTCATGGAGAGAACGAAATCATAGCCGCCCAGGGAAACGGAGTACCTCCAGTCAACCCCGATGGACCACCGTCCATAGACCAGTCTATGTCAGCTCCCTTATTGCCATTAATGGGAATTTGGGCGTCGGCCGTAAAAATAGCATCCATAGATACGCTCGAACATCCGATCAGAATGCACCGAACAGAGAAGAAGGCGAAATTAGCCTTCGAATGATATTTGAGATGTTGCAGACTCAACAAGCTGCAATAGCACAACTCCAATATCAGAATCGTGCACCAAGCAGAATCGAGCTCGAGCCATCGCAAGAAGTTGTTCATAGAGCCGAATCCGTACCAAAGAGATCGAATGAGTGAGAATCGGAGACTAGTCTTGCTATCGTAAAGATGCTCGAGGAACTAACGAAGCAAATCGAGACAGGGGAAAAGAAGATCGAGGAAAATGATAAGAAGGTGGAAACTTATAACTCCAGGGTCGGCCAAATTCCCGGGGCACCACCGGCATTGAAAGGACTTGATTCTAAAAAGTTTATATAAAAACCTTTCCCCCAAGTGAGGCTCCGAAGCCAATCCCAAAGAAGTTCCGTATGCCCGAGATACCGAAGTATAACGGGATGATAAATCCAAATGAACACGTCACTTCACACACGTGCACCATTAAGGGAAATGACTTGGAAGATGACGAGATTGAATCCGTGTTGCTGAAGAAATTAGGAGAAACTTTATCGAAGGGTGCCATGATATGGTACCATAATTTACCACCTAATTCTATTGATTCATTTGGTATGCTTGCATATTCTTTTGTGAAGGAAGACGCTGGAGCCATTAAGGTTGCAACTAGAAAGTCGGACCTATTCAAGGTAAGGCAAAAAGACAACGAGATGCTCAAGGAATTCGTATGTTGATTTCAAATAGAACAGATGGATTTGCCACCGGTAACTGACGATTAGGCTGTTCAATCTTTCACTCAAGGTCTCAACGAACGGAGTTCCATAGCTTCGCAATAACTAAAGCAGAATTTGATCAAATATCCAGCCGTCACTTGGTCCGATGTACATAATCGATATCCAGTCGAAGATTAGGGCCGAAGAAGATCAAGTGGGGGCTCCAATTGGTTTGATTTATCCCAACAGGCCCGTGGACAGAGTTAAAAGAGACTTCGATCGGGAACCGTGATCGAATAGAGACTAATAGCAGCCATACGATGGAGATCAAAGAAATAACGGGCATGGGCACAACCCGCTCAGAATGATAGAAGGAATGATCGGGGACAGAGCTCCCAAGGGCTCATGAGCAAGAGTGGTTTCGATAGGGATACCGAGTCCAAAGAAGTACCTCGATTGTCAGAATATAACTTTAGCAGATGCTTCCATCATAGTATCAGCCATTGGGCGTATCAAAGATACCAGGTGGTTGACCTCTGCAGACCGATGCGGCCCAGAGAAACCCAAACCAAATATACAAGTATCATGGAACCCATGGCCATAAAATAGAAGATTACAGACAACTAAGAGAGGAAGTAGCCTGATTGTTCACCGAGGGGCACCTTCGAGAACTCCTAAGTGATCGAGCCAAGAACCACTTCAAAATAGAGATTCAAATAGACAAAACGAGTAGGAAGAGCCACAACATGTGATTCACATGATCGTTGATCATTGGAGGAATCGATTTTCCTCAAGGACTGGTATTCAAACGCACCAAGGTGACAATCACAAGAGAAAAACGGACTCAGAACTATTTACCAGAAGGGACCTTATCTTTCAACGATAAGGATGCTAAAGGGATCGAACAACCTCACAACGACGCGCTGGTTATATCTATCCTTATGAATAAAATTCAAGTTAAACGTGTGTTAATTGATCCAGGTAGCTCGACCAACATTGTTCGATCAAGGGTCATAGAGCAACTCAGACTATAAGATCAAATTGTGCCAGCAGCTCGAGTACTTAAAGGATTCAACATGGCAAGTGAAACCACCAAAGGGGAAATTATTTTGCCAGTAAATATGGCCAGGACCATCCAAAAAATAAAGTTCCATGTGATCGAGGGTAACATGAGGTACAACACACTGCTCGGAAGGCCTTGGATCCATAATATGAGGGCAGTACCCTCGACACTTTATCAAGTCCTGAAGTTCCCAACATCGAAAGGATTCAAAACGGTGTACAGTGAACAACCCGCCACCAAATAAATGTTTGCAATCGACAAAGTGGTACCAGTATCTGCGCTTTCATCAACAAAGGGATCGGAGTCGAAGGGAAAGCAGGAAGTCAAATAGCAATCACAGTCACCGGCCTTGGCCCAATCGAAGGAGCAGGAAACTTTCGAGGATGATGATTATATGATACCTCGAACCTTCATAATCCCCGATGATTTAGACGCAACGAAGTCAACGATCGAAGAGCTGGAACAAATCATACTGATCGAGCATCTGCCCTATCAAAAGGTATACCTGGGCATGGGGTTAACTCCCGAGCTTAGGAAAAAATTTATTCAATTCCTTTTAGATAACATAGATTATTTTTCTTGGTCCCATCTTGATATGACAGGGATCCCACACGAGATCACCACCCATCGACTAAGCTTGGACCCGAACTTCCGTCTAGTAAAGCAAAAGAGAAGACCCCAGTCTGAGGTTAAGCATATATTCATCAAGGATGAGGTAACCAAACTTCTAAAAATAGGGTCCATTCGAGAAGTAAAATATCTCGAATGGTAAGCAAACATAGTAGTAATCCCTAAAAAGGGAAATAAACTTAGAATGTACATAGACTATAAGGAATTGAACAAGGCCTGCCCTAAGGATTCTTTTCCTTTGCCGAACATCGATCACATGATCAATGCCACGGCCGACCACGAGATTCTCAGTTTTCTTGATGAATATTCTGGGTACAATCAAATACAGGTGAACCAAAAGATCAGGAAAAGACTTCATTCATCACTAAATATGGAACCTATTGTTATAAAGTAATGTCGTTCGGACTAAAAAATGCTAGTGCAACTTATCAACGCCTAGTAATCGAATGTTCGAAGAACAAATAGGGAAATCTACGAAAGTTTATATTGATGACATGCTAGTTAAGTCCCTGCGAGTAGAGGACCATTTGAAACATTTGGATGAGACTTTCGATATACTAAGGAGGTACAACATGAAACTCAACCCAGAAAAGTGTGCATTCGAGGTCGGCTCGGGCAAGTTTCTCGGCTTCATGGTGTCTAACGGGGGATCTAGATCAACCCCAATAAAATCAAAGCTATTGAGGATTATCAAAGTCGTATATAATGTGAAGGCCGTGCAGAAGCTGACCGGGTGCATAGCCACCCTAGGACGATTCATCTCGAGGTCCTCAGGTAGGAGTCACCATTTCTTCTCATTACTTAAGAAGAAGAGCAATTTTGCATGGACTCCAGAATGGCAACAAGCCTTAGAAGAACTAAAACGATACCTGTCAAGCCCTCCACTGCTTTACACCCCGAAAACGGACGAGCAACTCTACTTATACTTGGTGGTCTTGGAAATAGCGGTAAGTGGGTACTAGTCCAAGAAGAACAAGGTACGCAATTCCCTATTTACTATGTTAGTCAGACCTTAGGCGAGGCCGAAACTAGGTATCCTCACTTAGAAAAATTAGCGCTTGCTTTAATAAGCTCCTCTAGGAAACTAAAACCGTATTTCCAATGTCACCCAATATGTGTTGTAACGAACTATCCCCTTTAAAATGTTTTTCATAAACCCAAACTTTTGGGGCGATTGGCCAAATGGGTCGTAGAACTCATCGGGTACGATATTGAGTATCAACCCCGAACAACCATCAAGTCTCAAATCTAGGCAGACTTCGTGGCTGACTTTATGCCAACCCTCATACCCAAGGTCGAAAAGGAACTATTATTAAAATCAAGTATATCATCAGGGGTATTGACCCTCTTCACGGACGACACTTCGAACGTGAAAGGGTCCAGGCTGGGCATCATTTTGAAGCCGTTCACGGGTAACATAATTAGACCATCCATCAAAACTTCAATGTTAACTAACAATGAGGCCGAGTATGAGGCCATGATTGCAGGTCTCGAGCTTCCTAAAAGTTTGGGAGCAGAAGCCATCGAGGCCAAATGTGATTCCCTACTTGTGGTAAACCAAGTCAACAGAACTTTCGAAGTTCGAGAAGATCGAATGCAGAGGTACTTGAACAAGTTACATGTTACTCTACATCGATTTAAGGAGTGGACCTTACAACACATACCTCGAGAACAGAACAACGAGGCTGATGCCCTTGCAAACTTGGGGTCATCGGTCGAAGATGACGAGCTTAACTCGGGGAATGTCGTACAACTCTCGAGATCAGTAATCGAAGAGGGCCACGCTGAAATAAACTCTTCAAGTTTGACTTGGGATTGGAGAAACAAGTACATTGAATATTTGAAGAACGGGATGCTCCCATCAGATCCGAAGGAGTCGAGGATTCTAAGCACGAAGGCAACACGGTTCACTTTGGCCGAAGATGGAACGCTATTCAAGAGGATGTTTGATGGGCCAGTGGCGATATGTTTGGGGCCAGGAGACACCGACTACATTCTACGGGAAATTCATGAAAGCACTTGTGGGAACCACTTCGGTGCCGAATCAGTGGTCCACAATGTTACCAAAGCAGGGTACTATTGGGCTGATATGGAAACGGATACAAAAGACTTCGTTCGAAAGTGCGACAAATGTCAGAGATATGCACCGATGATTCACCAGCATGAGGAGCAACTCCACTCGGTCTTATCCCCATGACCGTTCATGAGATGGGGAATGGACATCGTCGGCCCTCTACCATCAGCCCAGGTAAAGCTCAGTTTATTTTATTTATGACTGATTATTTTTCTAACTAAGTTGAAGCACAGCCTTTCGAGAAAGTCAGAGAAAAAGAAGTCGTAGACTTCATTTGGGACCACATTATATGTCGATTCGGGATGCCTACTGAGATTGTGTGCAACAACGGAAAGCAATTCATCGGCAGCAATGTAACTAAATTTCTCGAGGATCACAAGATCAAAAAGATTCTATCAACGCCATACCATCCTAGCAGGAATGGACAAGCCGAATCGACCAACAAAACCATCAGTCAAAATTTAAAGAAAAGATTGACCGACGCTAAGGAAAAATGGAGAGAAATATTGCCCGAGGTTCTTTGGGCGTACCGCACGATTTTGAAATCCAGTACGAGGGCAACATCATTCTCTTTGATCTATGGCATCGAAGCTCTTATCCCAGTCGAGGTCAGGAAACCTAGCCTCAAGTTTCGATATGCGATAAAAGAATCAAATAACGAGGCTATGATCACGAGCCTAGAATTGTTGGATGAAAGATGCAAGGCCGCCCTAGTTTGATTGGCCACATAAAAACAACGGATTGAAAGGTACTACAATCGAAGAACCAATCTTCGACACTTTAAAATAGGGGTCTTGGTGCTAAGAAAAGTCAGCCTCAACACTCGAAACCCGAATGAAGGAAAACTGGGTCCAAACTGGAGGGACCATATTAGGTCCTCGATATTATTGGAAAGGGATCCTACAAGCTCGGCACGATGAATGACAAGAAACTACCAAACAATTGGAACGTATCACTCCTAAAGCGATATTACTACTAAGGTACGACCTTCTCCATTTTCATTTATATTTTAAGCTAACCAATTGCAGGTATTCGATCAGGAATGTCGATGGATCCTTCAACACAAAGTCTTTAGGTCTGAAAGCATGCATTGTACTCTTTTTCCCTTGGGTTTTCAGGTGAGGTTTTTAAAGAGGCAATCATTGGTCATGGTAACTTAGACTAATTCAACTGTATCCGAGGCTTCTTTACAATCAACCTCGAATACTGGGGGGGCATTACCCTCGAATGTCAACTTTGTTGTAAGGAAATTACTTCGTAACATCGGGGTCTCGATAGGTAAATTTTGTAAGGGCCAAATGGTCGAATAAACCATGCTCGTATAGGTTACTCGAGCCCTAACATCAAACATGTACGCATGTATAATTATCTATTGAAAGAAGTATTTTCCCTTGCCGACATCTCATGCCTTAGAAAATTTTTCTACTTTATTTCATACTCTTAATCTATTGTGTAAACAGGCTTAAGGTCTGATCATAACGGAACGCCACACTCGGGGACTGCCGTTCGAAAGACAAACAACATCGAATTATAAAAACTTTGAGACCATACGACCTTAAAAGGCGACCCTTGATTTTTACAGGCCACGACCACCCCACTCGGTGACTGACATTTCGGGCAAGCGCGAATTAAAACAGGAAAATAAGCCCAAAGGTCAAGTCCCAAATAAAAAGGCTACGGCTAAATTAACACGATTCGGAGACGTCCGAATTCCGTAATAAAACAGGCCTTCGAATATTCTTATAAATTGGTTAAAAGGCTACCCTCAGCAAAATGACAAAGGACTTCGATAATATCAAGCCTCAAGTGCCCAAATGAAAGCCTAAGGACCATCTTTCATTTTGAGTTTGATGGATCATCCTCACTCAACTAAAAAACCTAAAGATTACCCTACTTCGAGTTTGAGCCAGCACTCACTTGACATTAGTTCGGTTTCGGTCCAAATTGCCTAAGCCTCAAACCTATGGATGTAATTTCATAAGGCATAAATAAAACAAAAAATGACAAGGGAAAGAAGATCCTTTGTATAACAAAAATCATTTACGAAGGCGGCATGGCCAGATCTGAACTCTTTACAAAGGCCAAAACGACCTTAAAAGAAACACTACTAGTCCTAAGTCCTAGTTTTCTTTGGGAGCAGCTTCTTCGCCCTCAGAGTCTTCCACTAGATTTGCTCACATCCTCGGAATCCTTATCAGGAAATGCTAACTTCCGAGCCTTTGCTTCCTCAGTCTTGGTAATCTCGAGATCAGCAGATATGTCAAAACTATGAGCAAGAACCCCCTCGAGAGCCTCCCTTCGAGCTTGCCATTTCGAATGATCTACCATGCCCTTGGTTTGATCGAGGGTGGCTTCGGTGTTGACTTTGTATTGAGCTGTAGTAGCCTGGGTCTTAATATTCATCGCGGCCACTTCAGATCTGGCAACCTCGAGGTCCTTTGCCAAGTTGGCCAAATTGGACTCGAGCTCCTCGACCTTCTTCACCTGGACCGAGGCATTGTTCCTTACACATCAAAGTTGTGACTTGGCAGAATCTAGCTCTAATTGAACGGTCTCCTTTTGTGCAGCCAAAATATCCATACATCCCTTGAACTATTCGGCCTCAGCTCACACTTTATCTATTTGCTCTTGAAGGCCCTTGATCTGTTCGAGCCTCTGTCGAACCTGCAGAATGGGATTGTTAGTTGTTATCTCCGACTCATCCTCACTATCATGAAGAACTCAGAATATCTTCTCGGCCATCTCTTCATGCGCATCTCGAGCCTCCACCAGGTCTACCTGAAGCTTCTCACTGAGAAGCATGTAAGTATTGTATTTCTTAGTGAGACCTTGGACTTCGGCCTTGCCTTCCTCTCGGATTCGAAGAAAGGCCTCATGATGCAACACCGAAGCCTACGAAAAAGGAAGAAAATGTTAGAGATATTTACAATTCAAAGTCATTAAAAGATAATGGCCCTTGAACATACCCGATTCAGAGCGTGCTGGGCCTCGTTGAACAAGCAGGCAACGTCCACTGCATACATTATGGCTTGGCCCTCTTCATTGAATAAATATCAAAGATAGCTAGCCACACCTATGGGGTAGAGAAACCTTGAGTATCTTCCGGGATCGAGATGATAAGTGGTCGCTTACGGTCAGGATCGACGCTGGGAGCAGGAAATTGGTTGGTCAGTTTAAAGCTCGAGGATGTCTCATTCGAGCTCTTCCTCGGTACGACCAAGTCACCCAGACCGTTGACATCTTCCACTTCGGTAAAGTAGTCAATGAAAAGGTCTTCTGCTTCATGGGCCTCTCCGCCTTGACAAGTCTCCACAGCCTGAGTATAATATCATCGAATCCGAAACTGGAGGGAATGAGGAAGAGCCCCCGATCTCTATTGACCCAAGTGGGTCCTTCGAGGCATCATCTTCATTCTGAGGGGCTTTCATCTCGATTTCTGCACCAGCAAAGACCGCCTACTCGACGGTCTCCCTATCTCAAGGTGAAGCATCTTTAGTTTTTTCTGGCTGAGACCCATTAAGTCGGGGCGAAGTAGTTTCGATTGCCGCCGGTCCAGTGGCTCCTCGAATCTCAGTGCCAACTCGCGCATGAGGCACCAATCTATAGTTTTGTTCTTCTTCATCTTCGTCTTCGGTGTCATCTAATAGCTGGTGGGCGAACACTAGAGTTACGTGGATAACATCCCACTTAGGTTTGCGGGGCCTCCTGGCCAGCCTTTTCTTTTTCGGGATTGGGGAACTCGGAGCCTCCTTTATTTTCTTCTCTTTGCCCTTATTCGGGGCAAACGGGGAAAGGAGTGCCTCTTATTCAGCAGAGACGGGGCTCATTGGCACTTTCTTCCCGAGGCCTATAGAATGAAAAGGAGGAGTAAGTATAATAACAAAACCCGAATGAAAACCTTTCTAAGGAAAGAAGATTACCATGATTACGAGCCTCCTATTGGCCCCTTGACACCTCCTTCCAAGCATGCTCGGAATAAGTTTTTTGTGACACCAATCCCTCGACCCATTGCCTCAGGTCAGGGATCACTTCCGGTACAACGGCCACAGCTGCAACACAAAGATTTGGATGAGGGGAAGACAAGAAGTAAAACGGCAAAAATGGATATTCGAAGGTAGAACAGTACTTACATTTCATGTTCCACTTTTCAAGGAACGACATGTCTTCCGCAGGAATTAGATCCTTTGTCTTTATTCGGACAAATCTACCCATCCAACCTCGTCTTGAGTTTCGTCTATGCTTCAGAACGGGGGTCTGGTGGCTTAGCGGTGGAGCTTGATCATGCCTCCACGATAAAGCCGGGGGGCGTAGAGGCGCATGAGGTGATCGAGAGTAAAATGATGCCCCTCAATCTTGCTTACAAAGAATCAAAGGAGGATCATGATCCTCTAAAACGACGGGTGAATTTGGCCCTCAGTGACATCGTACCTTTTGCAAAAGGCAACGATGATAGGGTCTAAGGGACTTATCATGAAGGGGTAGGTATAGACACTCAGATACCTCTCCTTGTGAGTTGTGATGGATTCCTCGGGGCTAGGCACTACTACATCCTCTCCTACCTAGTTGCACTCCTTTTTCACCTTCTCGAGAAGACCTTCTGTGATCGTGCACATGTACCTCGATATTGGTTCACACCAACCCAGTGTCGGGGGTTTATTCTCCACCTTGAAATTACTAGCAGTGGCACACTTCGTCAGAACAAAGTCTACAAGGGGATATTCCGCTGTGGCCGCAGTGCCGACGGATTTGATAAAGAAGCCTTTTCCTTCAATGGAACAGTTTTCGATGTTTTGGCCATTTTGTTTTTGCGAACAAGGAAGAACGGGGATTAGTACCAAGATCATAGAACATTGTCCGTATGGCCAAGGCGACGAAGATTGTAAAGAGAAATCTGATTGCAGTATAAGCAGGATTACGCCAGTATGACCAGTGTTGCTTCCAAAGGTAAGCCATACATTGGGTCCAAAATGGCTGTGCATATTGGCTGTTAAAATGCAGGTTTTTCGTACCTGGACAAGGCGCGTTGAGTTCACAAATCAACACTTTATTCCACCTGTAAAGATCTGATCTCTTGTATAAATTAGCAAAATCCACCCCCAATATCATTTCCCGAGCCGAGGTTGTGACTTCTAACATCCAAGTGGCTCAGTTGAGAGACCATTGACTCCTAGCAAACCAACTAATACTTATAAATTGTATTAGTGCAAGCCAGATGCTGCCAAATCCACAAACTTTAAGTTTCATGTCCTTCTCTTTGATTCGAACCAGTAACTTTGATTCGAACCCTATAATTGTCTTAAAAAATTTATTGAATATATATAAATTATTAATTTAGAACTCAGTAACTTCAAAAATGATTAGAATTTCGAATCCATAAGTTTGAAATCCCGGTTTCGCCTCTGCTTTATAGGAGCAAAATCTTAGAATACTCACTTTTGTTTCTTTAATTTTGCTAGGACAAACATGAAAATATGATTCTACTTTGCATAATAGTAAGAAAAAGGTTGTATTGTATTCCTTTTCTTTATCATTTGAGGAAGAATTCTCTTTACTGAAATGTGCTTCATAATTGTTACTACAGTTGATGTCTTGAAATAGAAAGAAAGTGAATCAATCAGTTTTGTGCCTGAACTCCAATATATGGCTAAACAAATATAGTAACATGATCCAATACAAACAGAACATATATGTATACTTCTTCAAGTGGTAACCTGTATACACTGAGTTTTATAATCAATCTATTCTTCGATTTTCCTCGTATAGATCTTCAGCAGGTATAACATCTTCTATCTTTTCTGGAAGTTGAATACTTTAATAGCCAAAGCAAATGTGAAGGCAAAAACAACAGCATATGCAACAGTCACAACTGCAACTACTCCAAGAAAATCATGTTTGAACCCGAAGTAACGTCTCAAGAATTGTTCGACTGTTTCATTATCAGTTATTTTGTTTTGGAGGTCTCCAAATTGTGATACAACCAAACCATACAAAGTCCAGGAAACAGGACAACCCCAATAGTACCATCTCCACCATATGGCCATACGCTGTTTTTCGACGAAAAAAACATGTCATTTTCGAGCTCTAAATTGATGTTCATGTAACAAAAATGGAAGCGGTTTAAGAACTTACAGGTCGTGGAATAATGAATCCTGAGAAAAGATTCCACATGGCAAAGAAGAAGAGAGCAACAATTTGTGCAATATGTTGATTTGGAGTAACTGCAACGCTCATCAAACCATAAAAGGTGAAGTACAAGAGAGTGAAATACGTGATGAACAAGTACCAAAAGAACTTGGTTACTGTCCATTCAAATCCAATCATAGCATAGACAATGACGCCATACAAAACAGCTTGCACAAAGACATACGGCATTTCAATGAAAACCTGCAAGATAATTAAAAAGATAATATGTAATTTAGACTTTTTTTTAAAACCAGTAATTGACCTATAAGAGGTTAAATTCTCTGCTTACTTGTCCAAAGGCATAAGGGAAGGCAGAATACATTCCAGCAGCTCTTTCTCTGTAAAATACTGTACGCTCAATGGCTACAACGGGCAACACTGATGCTGTATTTTGAAAACCAAGGAAAAAGACAGCAGCATACATTGATCCCATAGCATTAAATACATCTTGGCTCTTACCCCTGTGAAAAAAAATTAAGCTTTTAGCATTAAGAACTAAAAGTATTTTCCAGATTATATGAGTACTTATTTCATATCATATGTTTGAACTTACACTTTAGTACCAAGATCCCAGAACATTGTCCCTATGGCCAAGGCGACGAAGACTGTAAAGAGCAATCTGACTGCAGTATAAGCGGGATTACGCCAGTATGACCAGTGTTGCTTCCAAAGGCAAGCCATACATTGGGTCCAAAATGGCTGTGAATATTGACTATCGAAATACAGGTCTTTTGTACCAGGGCGAGACACGCTGAGTTCACTAATCAACACTTTATTCCTCCTGTAAAGATCTGATCTCTTGTATAAATC